TACACCCATCCAATGATGAATCGGTCCCAGCTGTTCTAACTAGGACACTTGATGAGATGGCTCCTCTGATTGATGCAGCCAGGAGACCCAGAACACCGGCACCAGAATCTCCGCTGGCTCCCTCTGATTCTGTACAAGAGGGGAAAGAAGAGCAAGCAGAGAAGGAAAACGTCAAAGCAAAGCCTGAAGGAGTGAAATCAGTAAGTGCCAGACTACATTAGCACTACCTTTGGTGTCATTCAGAGCTGCAAGTTCCTGGGACCAAAGTGTCTGGGGTGATGAAGACTTTACCTCCAAGAGAATTATGCTCCAATCCAGTGAGGGGAGAGGAGAGCAAATGCATCCCTGCCCCAGGCAGACAGTGGCTCTCATTCTCTGGCACAAGAATTGTGTCTCTGAGCTGTCCTGAGTGGAGCCAGCACAGCTCCTCCACAGGTGCTGTACACAGCTGCTTAGAGCTTGGGAGAGGCCAGGCTGAGAAAGGGGATTCACTTTTTTATAGACTGGGCTTGAAAAATCCCTCTCTGAGTGAGATGTGGAGGTTCAGCCCATCACCTTCACTGCATAACCCAGAGCATGGAAAGCCAGGGCTGTGCAGGATCTCTGTCTCCCACCTCTCCCTTTCTTTTCCTTGCAGGGGCCTGCAGAGAGAGATACCAAAGGTGAACAGCAATCCCTGTGGGCTGTGGGGTGGGGACTGATGGAGACGGGGCATCTCAGGCCCCCTGGGGTGGTCCTTGGGCTGGGGCAGCCTAGTCTGTGCCAGTGGGTGGACTCCCCCATGGTGCAGGCAGGGAGGAGCAGGGCTTGCCCTGGCCTTGACTCCAGCCATGGACCCGATGCAAGACAATATCATCCATGGCAATGACTCCAATGGGCTCATCAGGGTCTGGACACAGACCCCAAAACCCTTTCCCCAACTCTCTCCAGGCAGCAGCAAGTTCCCAGCCAGGAGGCTGAAGGCACTGATGATAATGAAATACACTGTGAGTACCAACCCATTCCTGTGGGTGACCCATGGACCCCTCTGTCTGTGGGACCCCTCTCTTGTGTCCTGGCTGCCTCTGGCACCACTAGCAACCCTGAGCCCCTTGACTGGCCATGCCACAGCCTCAGAAGCTGCACCGAGTTGTAGGGACATGCCCTAAAACCCCTTTCCATGCTCTCCATCCCCTCCCTTTGATATAGAGCCCCTCAAGATCTCAGTTACATAAGATTTGAATCAACCTTGAATTTATTTTTACTTGTTACTCAGTAGCTGTAGCTGGACAGGTGCGATGGAGCAATTGAATTGTGAACGTTTTATGCTTCACTAATCTTTTGTTTCAAGGAAAAGAGAAGACAATCCAAGAGGAATGGGCTCTCTGGGAACAGCAGGAGGGGGGAAAGGTAATTCCAGCTGTGGGTGAGCAGGACCAATGACTCACTGATCACCTACTGAAAACATATCCCAGACTGATATGGAGAGAAGAACTCTGCCTCCAGACTAATTAGCATGAGAAATGAGAGGTATAACTGGCAAATAGGGGTTGAGTACTAATTAAGGAAAAAGTGATGTAACTTGCTTATGCCTTTGTTTGTCAAAACGTATAAACAGTGTAAAGTTTTGATGACGGGTTAGTCAGACTTTTACAGGAACACCCCAGCTCCTGCTTTGGCAAACTGGAATAAAATATAGAACCCCCTCTCCTCAGCGTCAGAATTGGTGCTGTGCACCGGGCAACGAGCCTGTCATTGGGACAACAGGACGGGGGAGAGATTCAGAGAAAAAGGAAATACAGTTCAGGATTTAAGACAGTTTAATAGGACAAGAAAGGGAGGATAAATAATGTGTTCTTCCCCTCCCAAAACTTTCTTCTGCTCTATTACAGTGCTATATTGGGACTCATTCCCAGTCAGACTGATTCCAGCCCTCGATATACAGTTACTGCTGGGATGCCCCTGTCCCTCCAGAAATGCAAATGAGTTCTGTCCCACAGAGCAATTTGGCACTAGTGAACACTGTGTCCCAGTATCTCCAGGGGTTGTGCTCCTGTGGCTCTGACATGCCAGGACATCCGGTCCACACAGTCCAATATACTCCGAGGTCAGTCTTCTACAACCGGCTCATCCTTTTCAGGTCCCTTCCAACTCAAACCACTCTCCGATATTGGGACATTTTGCAGCTCGATGAGACCTCTGGTGCCAAGTTCCTGAACTGCAACTACTGAAACAATGAACCAGCCTCCAAGGAAGGGAAAGGCTTCCTGATATCCCCCAAATATGGAAGTGAAGGAGAGGAGGAGGGGAAGGTCAGCTCACCGGGTATGTTGAGCACTGTTCAACCACTCCACAGCAGAGGGCATTTCCCACCTCAGACTGAGGCACTCATACCCGACGGGAAGGCCCTCTGTGCAGGGCCTTCAGCCACTGTGTCCTGGTGTCCTGGTTTTGGCTGAGAGTCCATTTTCTCTATAGTAGCTGGTCTAGGGCTGTGTTTTGGATTCAGGATGAGAATAATGTTGCCCACACAACTGATGTTTTGGTTGTTGCTCAGTTGTGCTCCCTCCCTCAGTTGTGCTCCCTTTTCAGTGTCTCTTGCTCCGCCAGTGGGGAGCTGCACAAGATGTTGGGAGGGAGCATGGCCAGGACAGCTGATCTGAACTGGTTGGCCAAAGGGATATTCCAGACCATAGAATCTCATGCCTGGCATATAAACTGAGGAGCACTTGCCTAAAGAGGCCAATGGCTGCTCATGGACAGTCTGGGCATTCCCCATCCTCACCTTCCCTGTCACCTTCTTCTGCAGAGCTTCTGTCCCTCCCCTGCAGCACCCAAGGTGAGCAGGGTGTCCCACCACACCTCATTTCATCCACAAACCATCAAAAGGCTGGGAGGCTCCAGCTGCTCCTGCCTGTTCTCCAGCTTCTCCTGCTCATGCACTTTTGGCTGTAGCATTTCAGCCATATCACCAGGGCTGAGCGCAGACTCGTTTCAGGCCAACATGGACAAAGGGACCCAGGACCCTGCTCTGCCTCACGCGCTGTAGTGTTTGACAGATGTTCAGGCAAAATGAAATGAGGTGTCCACAGACTTTCCTTCATCTCCAAGGCCGGAGAAACATGGCTGGGCAATGGCACCTTCTCCAGGGAGGTGTTTGGTGACTGCAGAAAACCAGAAGAACTGTGGGTGTTGAAAGAGAAACTCCAGGAAGGACAACCCCACTTCCACCCCCCACAGCACATGGGGTTTACAGACATCCCTGCAGCTCCCAGCGGCTTTGTCCCTGTCCCCAGGAACCTGCCCTGTGCCAAACCCTGGGCTCATCTGCACCACTTCTGGTGGGGATTGCCAGTGCTTGGCTTGGCAGGGCAACAGCTCCCCACAAACTCTGGCCATGCCAACATGTCCACACCCAGCCCTTCCACCAGGCCCAGCCCTTCCTACACCCATCAGAAATGTGTTCTGGATGCCTTGAACCAAAAGGATCTCTGTGACTTGCACAAGTATTGACAATGTCTGATGGATAAATCTTTATCAAATCTATTCCCTGTATTGTACATGGACATGTGAGCACCTCGAGTGAAGACATCTCCATCCCCCTGTGTCAGTTGAACCTGTGTGTCCATAAACCCTGTGATCCAGCTCTGGGTAAGCCCTTCTCTATGCCCACACTGATGCTCCCCTGGATGCACAAGTACACAGGGGCAGAGGCCCTGCTGTTCTCACACAGCTCTGGCAATGGGGGTGTGCAATCATCAGGTCTTTCTGCTCCAGTGGAGAACAAACATGGATTTCTCTCTCCCCAGCTACACCTGTGCCTTCCACTGTCCCTCCCGGAATGGGGTTGAGCTGCCCAGAGATACAAAGGGGTGGCTGGAGAGACATGAAGGGACCCTGGAGGTACACTGGGATAGAAAGGGGGAGACGTCTCTGGCCTGAGCTCAGCAGAGACATTATAACCAGAGTCTCAAACATTCATATTTGTGTCGCTGTTGGAACTGACTGCGACACAAAGTATCCAGCAAGAAAGTTTATTGGAAAGAAAAAAGGGAACAGCAGCAGCCGTGGAGCTGTCTTTACAGCTCCTTAAATGCAGTTTTTTAGGCACACATATTCTACACAGATAGGTTAATTCAAATACACAAACCACAGTTCTCATGGCTGATAGGTGGACTTTCTCAGTCTTACTTTCTCACAGTCTCTCTGCACATCTGTTCTTTTCTTCTTATGTTTATATTCTACTTAGCCACTTTGTTCAAAATAAGTCCTTGTTCTCATGGGACAGCGTCCTTGTTCTCACGGGACAGCTTTCTCCTGGTGTTTTTCTCCTCTCTCAGGATGCATCAATATGTTGTCAGGATTAAGGCCTCTATTCTCAGTCACCTTCTCGTTCCATGTTAGGGTCTCAGTCCAGCTGAGATTCCCCACATATTTGTACTCTTCTAGTGCCCCTCCTTTCTTGTCTTGGCTATCCTTCTCAAACATAAATCACAATGAAAAATCACTTGTTGCCCTGTCTATACCCAGAACAGCCCATGCCTATGAGGTCACAGGGCCATATCTGTTCCTGCACCAAAATTGTCATCAGTTGCTCGATACAGGTTTGCATTACTGTTGAGGCTTTGCACAAAGAGAGCTTTGCAGATTGCCGTGTTGGCTGCCTTTGTATGTCTCTATATGAGCCCCATGAACCAGGTTTTGGTTACAAACCCTGGAGACAGACAGCTGCTCTTAGGGCGGCATTTCACCAGACCCCTCTCCTGGGATAGGCCAAAGGCAGCACCTTTCCCTTTGGGGTGCAACTTCATGCTCTCTTTACAGCTCACAGATCTTCCAGGCTTTCCTATTTGTCTCTGCCCCTCTCAGAGAACTTGGAGGGGGTGTTTTAGTGGTGGGGGTGTTTTGAGGCCTCTCCAACCAAATATTTCCTTCAGGAGAGCTAAAGCCATGACTATAGGGGGAACAGGAAAAATGCAGCTCCTCCAGGAATTACAGCTCCTCCAGGAATTTCCAGCACATGCCCACAGATCCTCACAGAGGGGAGAGACAGACATCAAGGTTCCACGTGAACGCCATCTTGTGTTGGATAACACAGGAGGTGGCTGCATCCCCTCTCCCTTTCCCATAAGCTGGAGATGCTGTTCTCTGGGAGCAGGAGGGGCATCAGTGGGGGTTCAGCACAGCTGGGTGGGTGCAAGTCCAACAGGGCTGAGTCTGAGGACAGAGCAGGGGCTGAGCACAGCAGAGCAGGGCAGTGGCAGCACAGTCCTTGGGCACTGCCCTAACTGGGCTGAGCCCACAGGGGAGCTGGGGCAGGGGTTGATCCCACTCTGTTCATGAGAGACAGGAGACAGAAGCAAGTCCAGGGCAGGGAGGGCATCCCCACTAGGGATGGGGATGCTTTCAGGTTGGGCAGTCCCAGTGCCCCAGTGGCTCCATCTCTCCAGCATGAGGGTGATGATGGGGGCAGATGACAGGAGGAGCAAGGTGAGGACACAGCACAGGATCCAGATCCAGAGGGGAATGGCTGGCTTTGGAAGAGGGGAGGGTCACTGTGGATAAGACATGTCCAGGAGGAAGGAATGGTGGAAAGGGCTCACAAATCACCACTTGCTTCTGGGTGGGAGCACTGTCTTGGTGGAGGGGTTGCTGCCTGTCAGAGAATTGCAGAGCTTGTGAATCTCACAGTGTCCTTTGCAGGGACCATCCTTGACACTGAGCAGAGCCCCCAGATCACATATTCATTGGATGAATATGGAAAGATGCAGCTGATGCAAATCTGCCCTATTTCCTTGACATTGGCTCTTACAGGTATAGGAGAGACAAGAGAAGGTATGATGGGGAGAGGAAGCAGAAATGCCGTTAGAGTCAAGCAAGATCTCAACTGATGATCCTCTCACAGTGTCCTGGAGGTGGCAGCCGGGCAGCCCTTGGGCCTTGTGCCAAGGGTCATGAGGAGGGAATCACTGACCTTCAGCGGCTGTCCCTGCCTGGGAGCTGGACCTGCTGCCTGGGAGGAGAAAGGCACAGGTTGAGAGTCTGCAGCTCCTCCAGGTACTGCACAGACTCAGCCACTGTGGGGACCCCCTGATCCACCATCTCTCAACTCTGGGGATCAATGAATGAATGCCCTGCACAGCTGTGGCTCTGGATTAGAACTGGCACCACCACTGTCCCCTTTCCATGATGCTGGGCCAGGAGAGGAGCAGGATTCTCTCCTGGGACTGGGAGGAGTGTCCCTGGTGCCAAAGGCTGGGCTGAACTGCACACTGACCCCCAGCATCCCAAGAGCCCAGGGACATGTCATGGGGCAGGGCGGGGTGCCCTCCCTCACCTGGGGTCTGTTGGGCCTATGAGTATCGCCTGTCTGTTCCTCAGTGCCAGGACTCACCTGTGACTCTCAGGTTCTGGGGAGCACTGAGGGCAGAGTTTCTCACTTGGTTGCTGTTTTGTGCTGGTATCCACATGTTTATGTCCTGAGTTCCCGCTCATCATGGTCAAAGACACAGAATAGCTCAGCTGCCCCTGCTGGGCTTTCAGGCTGTTCACCTCAACCCCCTTGTGGCATACTAGGGCACGGACTCCAAGGAATGTGGTATAATTGAATCATTTATTACAGTTCTTTCACGGTTTATATACCCTGTTACATCAGCAGTAAATTCTTTTTAGTAACTTTTCTCTATATCTACTTTTTAGTTAAGCATTCACTGGGAGAAAATTACTCTCAATTAATTTCCCACACACAAGGATACATCTCACCACGTCCGCATTTATCTTGCCAAATTCCCCTTCCATGTTTCTCCCAGGGTCATATAATCTCGGTTCCCTACACCCCCTCCTTACAAAAGATGAACTCTCCCTGCTGAGTCTTGGAGGTGATCTTGGAGGGCAGGAGCTGGGAGGTCACCTGGAGAGATGGCACAGGGATGGCCTGGTACAATTCTACTTTTTTCAGGGCTGCAAAATGTCTCAGATCTGGGCAGGGAAGAGTTTCCTCTTCAGGGGTTCACAGTCACAAACCAAAACCAACCAAACCAACCCCAAAGAACAAAGCTACTGGTGGAGGGGCTCGGAACAGACTGCTCACAGGTCAATATGGTTGGCAAAATGTCTATTTTTTAGCATCTTTTGATCCCTTAGAGATCTCTTCCCATAACTGTTCCTTTATAGCGTCCCACGTGGACACCTCAAAGGCAGCTTGAGCTGTGGGGATTAGTTCCTTTGCTCTCACCCACTCGAGTAGCTCTTTAAGGGCACTGGTATCATAATTAGGCTCTCTTACAGAGATTATAAATTGGAGGAGTTTTTTCACCATCTCTTCTTCTTTTGAAAGCGTGGGCCCCATGCCCCTCCCCCAGTCGCTCACCTGGCCAAGGTGAAATTCCGCTTCACCACGCACAGCTTTAGAATTCTTAGCGCCAGGGACAGCGCTGCTTCTTCGATTGCTTCCCTCAGCTTCCTTTCCATTCGCCTTTCATCCCTCAGAACAGCAAACGAGAAGTCCCTGTTTCACAGGCACCAGTTAGCAGTGGAAGGGCTCAGAACAGACTGCTCACAGGCCAGTATGGTCAGCAAAATGTCCATTTATTAGAAGAAGAACATTTATTATATACTGCTGCTACACCTGGACGTGTGATTCTTCTTCACACAGCACTGGACACATAAGAGAAACATACTTTGTTGTCCAGTGTTAATTGGAGCATTGCAGGTGTCCGTAAGAGATGAAAAAACTTGTTTAGCTTTCTAAGACTCCTCCTTGACCTTGGTAGGGAGCCTTCTTCTCTGAAGTTCTAACTTCAGAGCCTGTAACCATGTTAGCTACGCAGCTTCTTTTGCTGTTTGTGCTTTAGCTATGCCAAGGCAAGGCCTTCAAAATGCAGGACAAACTGCTCACCCAATTTTGCCGTCTACACAAAGCCCCTATTTCTTCCCATTTCCAGTCCCCCACAGCTCCATTTATGGACCTATCCTAGTACTCACCATCCGCTGGGGAGCTGTAGATGTCCTGGGCCATCACACCGGCACCTGCACCCTGGGGCACAGAGGGTTTTGGTCAGAGGGGCGGCAACCCAGCTCAGCCCCATGCCCCTGTCCATGTTCCCACCTGCAGAGTCTGTGCTGGGTGAAAACCTTCCCACCCACGTGGCTCCATCCTGAATCTCCCTTGTCTCCTGTTTGACACCTCCCCAATGCAATTCTGGGTGGGTTTGTGGTTCCAGGTGGATACCTCTTGCTCTCAAAAGGGCTCCAGAATATATCAGGTCCCACAATATAAATCCCTCAGAGGGGTTGGAAATTGCCCCCTTTGCTCAGAGGTCCGTGGGAGCTGGAGGAAGCAATCATCCTCCTGCCCTCCCCAAAGCAGTTCTGTTCCTCACTGCTGCACAGCTGCTCCACACACCCTTTCCCTGGGTCCTGCTGTACTTTGGGGGACATGCAGCCATTGGGTCAAACCAGGGCAACACTGTGGGGGAGGGTGCAGGGGGACCCATCTCGCTGCTCAGGCCAGGCCTGACCCTCCTGCTCTGATCTCACAGCTCTGACAGCAGTGTCCTCAGGGAGGAAGTTCTCTGGCTGTGCAGATCAATGACAGCTGGACGGGCTTGTATTGTTGACACAGTTAGGGTTTGCACGGCTTGTTTTCTCATAGGCGCAGGTCTCCGAGCTGAGAGAGCCTCACCTGCTCTCCCAGGAGGAAGGACTGACCATCACAGCACTGCCAAACATCTCTGATCAGAGCCCAACCCTTCATTTCTCTGTCTCAAGGTAAAAGCCATTCTGTTGGAGCCTTTCCTCCCTTCCAGTTCACAGATGATCTAGGGAACATCATGGGAAAGGAAACAACAAGAAGAACAAATTCAATCTGAGTAAGTGTTTTAACCTAACAGGGCAGCAGTGAAGATGTGCAAATCCTAAGCCTGGTGTTCTCTTTTGCAGTTATCCTGAGCTCATGGGAAGGACAGCGGGTGCTGGACTCAGCTGCTCACACACAAACCTCTCATGACAGCAGAGATGCCCTCGGCTGTCCATCCTTATACTCCCAGAAGGGCACAGCTCTGCTCCACAGGAGAGCTGCCGCACCCTTGGGTTTGGGGTCACTGCAATTTAAGATGTTTTCAGGTTGAGGAGTCAGGACATTTCTTTCAGCTGCTCCATTGCCCTGCAGGAATTTGGGAGCAGAAACTTTGGCCAGGAGAGTAACTCAAGGTCTATTTAGAGAATCACATTAAACTTCTGAAAACTTCCCTTGGGAGAAGGGTGTTCCAATGCAATTCCACTTCTCTCTAGAATATGCTCTCTAAGACCATGCTCTAGGCCATGCTGGGAAGATGTCAAGGAAGAGGAGAGATTCAGCAGCAAATGGAGGCATAGGGTTTGTCCACTCACAGGAGTTTCTTGCTGGGATGACTTTGTTCAATGTATGAGCCAAAGCTGCCCAGGTCCAAACAGCCCCACGTCCAGTTGGCTGCTCCCTGCCACCCTCGTCTTCCTGAGAGGAGAACAGACCTCATCCCAGCTCCCAGGAATGAGGGGCGCTTGCTGATGTCTTCCAGCATCTCTGATTGACAGATGCACCCCCAAAACTTTATTGCTGAGGTAGCAGCTGCACTGGCTGTATCTAATCCTGGGCAACCACCTGCAATCGGCCCTCCTGGAGCAGTGGGGCTGGAGCAGATGAATTCCAGAGGTTTCCTCTGCTCTTTGCTGTGTTTGTGCAGGTTGTGTATGGGGGGAGGAAAACCCTGGCAGTGGGGATGCCGGAGAGGGAATGAACTGGGTTGGCTCTGGTTTTGCTGTCAGCAAAACACTCCTTATAAGGCCCTGCCAAGGTAGGGGGTTGGGTTTTTTAGCCATATGATTTATAATAAACAAACCCACAGAATGGGTTCAAGAGTCAAAGGAGTGACTTTCCTTCTCCTCTGTCCCCAGCAGTGACTGCACAGTTTCACTGACCAACTGGTTCCCAGGGCTCTGTTCCTGCTGGATTAGCCTCATGAGTCTTCCTTCAGTGCAGCCACAACCTCTCCTGTTTCAGTTCTGAAATCTGTGTTCCTATAATTGAGCTCCCAAAAATAACTTTGAGGTCCATATCAGAAGAAATGACTGCATTGCTCATATGATAAGGTTGTGTTTACATCATCTTTACAAATTCCCAGGATGACAATGATTACTGAAGGCATGGTAATTTCAAAATAGACCTCCTGTGCTTGGCCGAGATCTTTGCCCTCCTTCCTCGTTTTAGAGCTTTTCCTGCTTCAAGCACCATGTGCAGCTGCTGCAGGAAAGGACATGTCTCCCGTGAGCCTTGTGTCCCACTGATCAGAGCTGGGCACAGGATCTCTTGGACACCCACAGGAAACCCAAGTGCCACTGGAAACCTTGCCCAGGACTGGATCTTTCAGGGTGGGATCACACGGCTGCCCAGGTTCAGCCAGGAATTTCACTCCAGTTCAGGCAGAGATCGAGGACATGACAAAGGTGCCTCTGTGTTGCCACATCCCCTGAATTCAGACACCTGCGCGGGTCAAGCATATCCAGTGCACATCCTAACAGTGCCCTGGGCCTCTCCAGACTGGCATTTGGAGGCTGAGCAAGGTCACACAGCTCAGATCCTCCACATTTTAAGATCAACCAAGCCCATAAGAACATACCTTGTCCTTCACTAGTCACAATTCCTTTTCCTCAAGTCAAGGCTGATCCCTGACCAATATGATTGTCTGCATTTGAACTACTCCAGTCAGGGGCAGATGGGGAAGGTTTTGCACAGGCAACCACAGAACCTAGGAGAGAACAAGTGGAACAGACTAAGCTGAAATGACAGTTTTTATTGATTTACTTATTATAGGTAGGAGTTTTTTTGCAAGAGTCAGGTCTAGACAGCATGCAAGTATCACATACAAGTGAACTGCTACAAATCCTATCCCTATAGATTTTCAGTCCTTTGTTTTTAAAGAGAATGCAAACCAAGTTCAGAGACAACCATCAAAGCAGCAACAAAAGTATCTGTCCTAGCACACACCCACACCTAGAGCATTCAGAAAGGAAACTTCTCTAGACTGCCTTCCTTCCAGCTAGCGGGAAACTTTCTATGAATATCTGCAGTAAGTTAAAAGTGGCATGATATTAAGAAAGCATGGAAAACACTGTTGTGCAAAGACAAACGCGAAGCTTTAAAGCACAGACAGACCCTGCCAGTGACGTCCAAAACAGGAGAAAAATCCTCTGCGTGTTCAATGTGCACAGAGGGATTGCATTACAGCTGAGCTTCACATTCCCTGGACTAGACAGGCAGGTCTGCAAAAATCACTAAGGAAATGCTTGCAATTTATTATTAAATACTTCACCAACTTCTCTCCACTACAGCCTAGATAACGTAATACAATGAGTATTGTGAAATTCAAACGGTAATGATAAGCAGCATGAGAAAAGCTTCATTCTGACAAAATACCAAAATGTCTCTCTAAGAGTGCAGTCACAGTGTCCAAACTCCACAAAGGAAGAAGTGACATTTTAGTTCAAATAGCTCAGCACCATACATTCCTCCAGCAAAAATTCAAATTTGGTCTGGTCTAGAGCTAAAATTCCACTCCAGTAGTTTTAGGATCAGCAAACGCAATGAAATGAAACAATCCTCCATTCTTCAATCCAGCAAGAGACACTTGCGCAATAGTTAATAATATCTGCCACAACTGGAGATGGAGGGAGGGACAAAAAAAAAATAAACAGAACTATTCTACAAGCTCACTCTCTATTTTTTTTTTTGAGAAAAATCAGAGTTTCTCTTCCCTGCCAGGTGAAAAGTGAGTCTTCTCCCAAAAGAGCACACCTCTAGTTTTCTCCACACTTCTCTCTCATGGAACTGAACTATCTTTCTTAGGAGAAACTCATGGAGAAGCCAAGCAAATCTCCATTAACTCTCCAAGTAGCAGAGGCCAAGCCTCAGTCAGCAGCAAGTCAGTAACTTTATTGCTATTTCTGTGCTACAATCAGCTGCCTCCTCCAATATTTCCTGCAATGTTAATGGTAAATCCTTTACACGTGTCATTTCCAAAATGCACGATCACAAAACTTGGCTCTGCTAGTTGTTAAATCCAGGCACCAGGTTGTTACCAGGTATGACCCAAAACTGACTCTAGAAACTCAAAGCACAATGGTGTATAGTTTTTAGGAGAGCTTTAAAATAAAAAAAATAATTAGTTTACACACAAATCCTTCTGCAGTCCACACTGTATAACAACTCCAATTGCTCACTAAGAGAATTACCTAATTTATAACATTGAACCGTATAACCTCACTGCTTATAAATATATTCACTGGCACAAAAAAAAATAATTGCAAGTAGTGAGACTTACATCGCAAATAACTCTTTGCCTCCCCCACAAGCAACTTTTTACTTCAGACTGTCCAGGCAACAAAATTTATGTTGTTGTTAGGACATCTCCCACACTTACCGGTATATTCTCTCCCTGGGACAGAGCTGCCTTTCTCTTCCCCAGGCGCTCTGGCAGCTCACTGACATGCTTCTCCAGCACTGCCACCTCCAACCCGCGCTCCTTCCAACGCTCCCTCTGGTGTTGCAGCCTGGCATTCGGCTCCTGCTTCACTTTGTTCCTCAGCTGAAAAAATTCACCAAGCAGTGGGGCAGGAGGGGAAAGCAAGGAAAAGAAAAACAAATGAACTTTCAGGAGAGGGGACAGGAACCAGCTACAAAGAGAAAAGCTGTTGAAAAAGTGAAGTTATGTCTTCTCTCCAGTGAAAATATTGGTTAGTCTCCAAATTTGCAGAAAGGAAAGGGATATGCACAGTGTGCTCCTTCCTCCCTTTCCCTCGAACTCGGCACAATCACCCCTCCATCCTCAGCACGCAGGCAGCCACATGGGCCCGGTAGGAACGGGAGCAGTGGCGTTTCTTTCTAACGAGCTCAGAAAAGGACCCAATTGTCTTTAAAGCCCTTAAGAGTTGGGGGTCACAAGCCGGCTTTCCATTACCTGCAGCTCCTTGGACACATGGTGGGTGGAGCTCAGCTACAGGTGACAGGTTGTCGTGGTAACCACCAATTCCTCGGCCCTTCCTCAGCACCTCTGGCAGTCCAGGCAGTTCCTCTGCTTTCAGCACGTCCAGCGCCAGCTCGCGCCGCTTCGGCTGCAACAGGCTCTTCAGTTGGGTCCGCCTCCTCCGCTGCAAAGGACGAGAGAGAGCACAAGAGCTGCCCTGAGGAACAGCCCAGCATGGGCTGCTCTGTTCCCAGGGCAGTGCTGCAGGGCACCCAGAGAGCACCCTGCTGGCCTCCAGAGCAGCGCCACACAGAGCCAAACTTGCTCCTCCACCCAGCAGGCGCACAAGCAAAATCACTGGCACCATTCTGGACATTTGGTCTCCTCAGAGCGCCCATGGCCAGGGAAAAAGACATTTGGTTCACTGTCCCAAGTACAGAAACAAAACCACAACACTAGACTGAATTTACCTGCAGAAGCCCAAATTCACCGAATGCCTGCTGAATTCAGCAGGAAGACACTCACTCAACCACAAGGCATCATTTCAAACTCTGTATTTAAGCCCTAAGAAGCCAGTAACAAAACACTAAAGCTGTTTCATTAAACACAGACTGGGAGGGCTTTTTAGGGTCTATTACAAGCACCTGTCATCAGCTGCTCCCACTGTCAGAACGGTTCTAGCCCAGAACAAAAGGTTGAGAAATCAATAAGAATTCCAGCCAGTGCCAAGACTAGACCTCTCGGGGACGGTGCCAGGAAATAGAGTCATGTGCTCCAAGATCTTGAAGATCCAAGATCTTAAAGGCATCCTTATAGGCCTCTAAACCGATGTTGATTTTGTGCAGTAGAACCCAAACAGAAAATAGATTCTCCCCACAGAAAACCTCCTTTGCTTTATCTCAATGGAAAGCACGAGGCTTCCTACTAAAACAACATATTTATATTTCCCCTTAACAAACCAATATCTTTTCATGCGAGGCAGGCTGGCAACAAGTTTTGCACAATACGGAGAGAGAGAGGATGAAAAGCTAGGCAGAAGACGTGTTGCTATTAAGTCTGAAATCAATCTTTCTCATGGCATCATTGTGCTGATTTACAAGCACCCAAGTCGGACTGTAGCAAGCCTGAGCCTGGGCAGACTGGCATCGCTAACGAGGAAGGAAAGATGCCGCCAAATATGCGGCCGTTAAATTGCCTCTGGCATAAAAGGCAACCTGGCTATTGGGCTAAGCTTTGCTACAGGCCAAGAAAATAACACTCTAAATGGGCAGGGTACTGACACAGAGGATGGAAACAGTTACCGTGTTACACAAAGGTATTCAAGGCAGGGGAAAAGCCCACATTGGGAATAAAGAGCAGACGTGCTAGGCTTCAAATATAGAGTGCTTCCACGGCATACTTTAAAATACAGGAAGAAAGCGTATTTTGTCCGAGGTAATTCGTGAGTGTTCTTGGCGAACACAAGATGTGAAATGGTTCTGATTAACATTGCCTGGAATGCTGTAAATAAGTCCTGTGAGTCACCGAAATCATCTGCAATTTCAGAGTTCCAAGAACTGTATTTCGTGAAAAATCATGGGCTACTTTCCCCGAGCAGCAACTCACCTCATTTCCCAACGCTGAGTCTTTTCTGCTCCACGTGGCCTTTCAGGGCTGTCACTTGCTGAAGTCTGGCTTCTTGATTCTCAGCAAGTTCCTTTAAGCGCTTTGGTTTCTCCTGCTCAGCAGCTTTGCCGTTGCTGTCGCTGTTCTTGCTGCTTCGGGAACTTCAGGCTTTGTGGTTCCTGCAGTCCAGACGAGGACTTCTTAAGTTATTGTTTTCAATGGGAAGATAGGAATAGAAACAAGTGATCCCAAAACTTCAAACCCATCCCCACAGCGGTCCAGAGCAGCTCGAGCCCAGTCTCCTGCCTTCCCAGGGCCGGGCTCTTCTCTCTGCGGGGCACCCGCCAGCCGGGCACTGCCCTGCCCGGCGACCCCGAGCGCCTCAGGCCCGGCCCGGGCAGCGCCTCGCTCTGCGCAGGCGCCGCTTCCAACCCCGCCCCGAGCGCCGGGCCCTGCCTCGCAGTCGCCGCCTGGCGGACACGGCCGGGAGCGCCACTGCAGCCGCGCGCCACCCCCCTCGCCCCCACCCCCAAGGACCTCAAGGACTCCTGGAGCGCAGACTGACAAAAATAAATGTCCTGTAAGAGCAACGTTGCCTTTCGGAAGTATAGGCATTTCTTCCTATAACCTGCTCTTACCTAGGAAAAGCTGAGCAATTCACAGAGTTGCTGTTTGTCTCCCAGCTTCCCAAAGGATTTCTCCCTCTCAGCAGCAGCGGCAACGATCCCCAGGAAGCCCTGACTGAGGCTGGGAATTGACACACAACAAGCCAAGAGCATTAACTCAGCACCAAAACACTCCACAATAAACCAATTTAGAGTCACCTTTGTCTCTTCTCCCCATGCAGGCAGAGGCTTTGGGATTCCAAGGCAAATCCTGAGACACTGAGAGAGCAGCAGCCCCTCAGTCCCACCACTGCCTCCCCCGGGGTCCCCCAGCCAGGAACCAGGCTACCCAGCCCCTGCTGTGCAGCACAGCATATGGGGGGATGACTTTTGGGACCCCTCCCTGGCCGGTGGAGAGCAATGCAGGCATTGGGGCCAAGTCCTGCCCGGCCTCCAGGCACTGCAGACAGTTCAGCCCCAGCAGCAGCAGCAGTGGGTTGTTCTGCCTCTTACTCCCCTCTCCTTTGGAACTCAACGGTGAGGAACAAGCCCTGAGCAGACAGTGTGGGGCTGGCCCCGGGTACAATCAGCACCAAGCAGCAAGACCTGGGCTTGCCAGAGGCCTGGGCCTTCCTAGTTCAGGCTCTGGGCTTCATTTGCTTTCTTCCACTGCAATTCTCCTGCCCCGGCAAGTGTTAAAAGACAGACTGCCCGGTGAGACGTGCCCTAAGAGAGCAATCAATTCCAGCGCCAGAAAATCTCAGTGCCACACTTAGAAACCCTTTAGCGAGGCCCCTGGAGAAGCCAAGGTGAGCTGTGATTACCTGGAGTCCCAGGGAACCGAGGGGAAGGTGAGGAACGAGCAAAGAGCAAACCTCCCCAGCTGCTTCTCCCTGCAGCCCCCACGGCAAGTGCAGTTGCCCTGGGATTTCATGCCCCCTGTGTCTCTTGCGAGCTCAACAAGTGAATAAGCAGGTACTGCAAGATACGCTTCCTCTATACCTGAGGCAGCACAGACCCTCCCCGAGGAACTGCAATGCCAGGGCACATCCGACCCCAGCCCTCCCGCCTGTCGCTCTCTCCGCCCCTTCTCCTCGCGGCAGCACGCAGGTGCGGCTGCCCAGAGGCAAGAAACTTGCCTGTCGGTTCCCCTTCCTGCAGTCCCCGATGGCCGCGGGAGAGGCAGAAGAGCGGCCGCGCCCTCGCCGGGCCCCGCTTACCCCGGGGACGATCTCCTGGAGAGCCTGACGTTGGATCTGCCGCCGTGGGTCGCTTCCGGGGGGGAGAACGCGGCGGCGCAGCCCCGACAGCACCTCCAGCCCACGGCGGGACCGAGCGGGGCGGGAGCGGGAGCGGAGCAGCGCGGAACGGGGTAGCCGGGCGGGGCGGCGAAGCCGCCTGAGCGTCGGTCCGCTTTCTGCCTGGGCTCCTCGCTTGTCAGCCGCGCGCCGCGTCCCCAAGCGGGGCTGCCCGCTCCGGTGCCTGCCGCTGGCGCCCGGCGCCGCCGAGAGCCCTGCCCTGTCCTCACAGCGGGAAGCACCGCAGCGAGACGGCGCTGCGAGCGCGGGGTGGAAGTCCGGGTCGGGGTGGAGCTCAGGCAACAGGATAGACTCCTCTCTGAGGCAGGGGGCCTCGCGCCACCATCTTTAGTGTTGTCCTGGCTCATTTCCGGTCCTGGTAGCGCCATCTTTACTTCGGGTTGGCGGACTTCCGCCATCTTTCTGTACGGCATTGGAGGACTTCTGGTCCGAGGGCCGCCATCTTTCTGTGCGGCCTCGCAGGACCTCCGGTCCGGGGGGCACCATCTTTCCTAAGGCGTTGAAAATATTCCGGTCGCTCCCACTCCCGGTCCCCAACTTTACGCTTTGAATGTCCCTCACTAATTTCTACGGTTTCACCTCAAAATCTTCATTTTAGTCTCCCCCCCACCCCGAGAGAGACGGGAGACCACAAGTCCCGTCGTGCCCCGGGAACCGGCCAGGCCTCAGCGCGGCCGCTCCTTCCCTGCTCGGTGCCGCCGGTTCGGCTGCCTCCTGGCGGGCCCCGCCCCCTTGAGCAGGCCTCCGAAGGGCCACCGCCCCCTCCCCGTTCTCCGCTGCTCTTCCCCTCGGTCCGGGCGGGACCCGCGAGACTCCCAAGAACAGCCGCGGCGGGCACCGCGCGTGCGCAGGTCCCTTCGCTGCAGTGCCGCCCTTAATTTCAGCAGGGGGCGCTGCAGTGCCATGAGAGTCACTGCGCATGCGCTATTCCCCTCTCTTGACCGCCCTTAATTACCACGTGATCAAGGGCGTCTCACAAATGACTGCGCATGCACCGACGCCGCCAGCTTGGGGGGACCCCCCCACGTGACCTTCTGGCTTCGCTTTCTTACTGCGGATGCTTCACCTGCTTTTCTGGGGTCCCACCCATTCTGGGGCTCTTCCCTGACATTTCGCGGCTCCCCCTCCACTTTTTCGGGTCCCTGGGGTTCCCCCACCCACGTTTTGGGGTCCCCTTCTCACATTTTAGGGGTGACCCCCAATTTACGGTTCGGAGGGCAGGGGGGGTGGAAGTAAATGGGGGGCCCAAGAAGGGGTTTTTTTCTCTTTTATTTCACTTTTTATTTTATTTCCTTTTTGGTTTTCTTGCTTTTAATTTTTTTATTTTCTTTTGTATTTTATATTTCCTTTTTTTTATTTTATTTTTTATTCTCTTTATTTTTCATTTTCTTTCATTTCTTGTTTGGTTTTTATTTTTTTATTTCTTATTCTTCCAGAGAGGGAAACACTGCAGCTCCTCTGGGCCAGAGACAATGCCTGGAATTAGTGCCCTGGAAGCCTGGTCCACTCATTCCAGGGACTGATGCTAACTCAGAAGGGCTTTGCCAGCATCAAATGGAAATTACATCGTGGGCAAACGCACTTCCAGCAGGACTGCCGGGACACTCCTGGCCAAGGCGACTGGTCTGTGGAAGTCAGACCAGTGACCACCCCGGGGGATTTTCAGGGGGATACTTCCAGGTTTTATTCTCCAGAAACTCCAGTTCTTTCTGGCACCGCTTGCTTCAGTCTTCCCTTGTTGGAAGAGGTCACTTAGTCTTTCTAGGGGCCAGATTGCCATAGCCCGGCCAATCCATTCCCTCCACACCCCCCTCGCACTCAGGAGCCGAGGGGCAGCGGCCTGCCCTGCCCTGCCCCGCACAGGCCCCAGGGCTCGCCTTCAGGCCATCTGTCCCAAGGCTGGAGTGATCCTGCCATCATCTCGTGGCCACGAGTGGCACAGAAAGCCCAGGGCCAACAGCAATTCCAGGCAGCCGCAGGCAGATGTTATCCCTTCCCAGCTTTTTGGGAGTGAGGGGGAAGGTGCCTTTCCCCGTCCGGCAGGGGCAGTCGTCCCCGCCGCAGAGCCCGCCCCGATCCTGGGCCATCTTGGAGACAATTCCCCTGTCACAGCCCACTTCCTGCAGAAAAATTTTCGGGTTTAATGCGGTTTTTGTTGTATTTTTAAATTTTTATTTTATTGTTAAATTTCGTTATTATTCTCTTGAAAGCCCGTGGAAGGCAGCCACCTCCCCCCCCCCCCCCCCCCCCCCCCCCCCCCCCCCCCCCCCCCCC